TCCTTTTTTGCCCGTTATCACATATTTAGCAGTTATGGCAGCCAGGAGAGTCACCTCTTTGATCAGAGTCATCTTTTGATCACTCCAGAGTGTAGAGATATAAGTTTTGCTGAAACTCTAAATAGCCTTAACGTATCTTTCAATCATATATAGCATGATCACTGAACCAAATTGGGGTAGCTCAAACTGGTCTTGGCAAGCCTTGAAACTAAGGACTGTGTGAGGGGTTACAGTATTTTTTGAAGCTGTCTTTATTTAGCTACCAATATTGAAAAAGTCGTGGGTTAATCTAACAGGCTTCACAAATTAACCTGGAGAAGTACTGTGTGCAGTACAGTACTGAGGGAAATAATTCTATCCCTCCACTTGGCACTGGTGAGACACATCTGGAATGTTGTATCCTGTTCTGGCCTTCACAGTGCAACAGAAACACGAACATAATGGGAGTGAAACCAGTGAAGGGGCACAAAGATGATGAAGGGACTGGACTATCTCTCACATGAGGAATGTCTTATCAATCAATGTGTTTAGATACCTTATGGGGGGAATAGAGGAGACAGATCAGCCTTCTCAGTACTGCCCAGGACAAGAGACAATTGGTACAAACTGAAACACAGGAAATTTTACTTAAACATAAGAAATAATTTTTTAGAACCTGCTCCCCAGAGATGTTTTACTGTCTCCCTCTTCTAGATGATCCTCCTTTGATCACAGCAATAGAACTTATTGCATTAGGGGTTAGATTAGAAGACAAGGTATTTTTTTAGGGGATGTGATTGCCCTAACACTGAAATAAATGTCAGTATATTTTTGTTAGCTTAGTTGAAGTACAACTAAAAAGATACAGGTTTCTTTACTACTGACAACTCTTCGACACCTTGAATCTTCCCTACTTCAAAAACTTTGCAATTGCTGAATCAGTATCATCAATACAGTTTTATCATGCAAGACCTGACTAATGTCTTTTGATCTTGTTAAGGTATTTTTATTATTAATACTGAGTGATTACTTGAATGCCTGCAAATTTATTATTTGTGAAGAGGATAGCATGCTACAGTTAAAAGTTGGCAATTTCTCTGTATCTTCACTGTCCTAACTATAGTAATTATAATTGAGTGAAGGCTTTCAGCTAAATTTGGCTAATCAGCTTATCTGGATTTCTCTTCTCCTGCAGTTTGAATGTATTCTTTGCCTTTATTTTCTAATGTCCAATCTGTTTTTCCTCCATGTGAGCTCCTGTCTTGAAAAGAAAAAAGTTAAGTATTTTCTTTACTATACAGGTTTAGGAGTTACTTCTGGTATTATATGTGAACTATTTTTGAAGATCCTTGCATTGGAAAATACTCTGTCATTTTCTAGGCTCTTCTGTAATCTGCACTGGCACCTACACAGCCAGGTAAGGAAGCCAGGGCATGTTGTGTGATGACGCATGGAAACAATGCTATGTTCTGGGTGCACTTTTAAAGAGGTGATAAAAAATTTTTTTTGAGTTCCTAAGTAAGAGGCAAACAGAACCTACATTTGTACAGGGTGCTTGGAAAGGAAATCAGAGAGAATATTGAAAAACGTTTGCTGTTTAATTGAAATTAATTATTAAATGAGTCACATTTAAATATTTCTCTCTTCACACGAAAACTGCAAACAATTTTTATTACCAGCCCACTCTCCAAACTTTTTTTTTAATTTTTAAGTAATTTTGTTTGACAGGAAGAAAATTTCTCTGTCTGGTTGAAAAACTGTTCCACAATCTACCACTGATTTGACAAATTATGTGCTCGAATGCTTGTTTTGCTTTGTCTTTTTCTTTTATCTGTAAAACACCCACAGCAATATCACTACTATCTGCAATGATCAGTCTCTAAAATAGGAGAACTGTCATTGTGGTCCAGTGTTGCATTTAACAGCTATTGCCAGCAATGCAAACTTGAAAATTATTCAAAGCTCTTGATAACTTTGTTTTAACATATTAACTAGAAAATGTCATTGCTTGGCCTGGAGTGTGGGAATAACCCTAAAAAAGCTTCCACTTTTCACAGCACCTCATATCCCTAAAGCCCCTCTCTTTAAAAATAAAAAGATCACCTTCTGCAGAAATGGACGGTAAAATTAAGAACATTTTCTCTGCTCAGAATTAGGCCAGGGATAATTCTTTGTACAGAAGAGAGTCAGCGTGGTGGTTAAGGAGAAGATACAATAAAGGATGCTGACACAAAATGCCAGAGGCCAGCTGCCAAGACTTCCAGTGTCTCAGTCTACTAGGGAAAAGCAAAGGACTTCAGAAGTGTAACTCAAAATAAGGAGCAGGAGACGTGAAAACTTACAGGGATGAACCCAGAAGTAAAAGTGAGAGAAGACCTAAATTCCGACCCTTGAAATTCTTAGATAACGACCTTCACAGCCTTTTTCATATGCTTTCCTTACAAAAACAAACCAAAACAAAACAAGGTAAACAAAACCCCCAAAACCATTCAGAGACGTCTTTGACCTTTTAAAACTTGCCAGAGTAGGGACAGCAATCCTTGTGTGCTGCAGGTGGAGTTCTAGTGATTGAGCTACTTAGGGAGCAAGATCTGAGATCTCTTCTCCCATCCTACCTCCCGTCTTTCTAACCTGCATCCTGTTTATGGGGGAAGGAGAGGAAACCTCTCCTCTCTTGATGAACTGAGAACAGTTTTACTAGAAGCAAGCTTGAAGGGAAACTTGCCTAAATGTGTGAATGTGAGGGATGTGTAAAGAGGATGCACCCCTGAGACTACAGCTGCATTCTTGTACCAGTAGTTATTGCCCACTCCCAGTTGCTCCCAGCTTCCTGATCATTTTCAAGTGTAACAAACCAGAGCTACAGAGCTCTAACACTAAACTATCAAAGCTACAGAGATTAAGGCACATTAACCTTCATACTGTCCTTATCCTCGGGATAACGTACGTCACGTTTAAGAGACCTGGATGGATGACGGCACTTCCAGGTTCTCTCTTTTGCATCACTTACAGTCAGATTTTGCTTTATGGCCATCTTTGTTCATCCAAACTGGAATGTAAGCCTCATCCTACCACAGTCAACTACTTTTATATCTCTCAAACATCTTCATACTGTTAATCTGGGTTGCCACCCTGAGCTTTCAAAATCTGTGGCTACAGTGGATTTGGTCTAGTTGTTTATGTGGGAACAATGTCATGTTCACAAGAAGTGTGGCAGATTTCACAGCCCACTTCAGTATGTTTTTCAGTCTGTTTTTTACTGTGAAGTACTGGCAAGCTTAATTTTTCCCAATTGCCACTTTTCCCTTCCTCTCCTTTAAAGTATTTATTGTCTGGCCTGCATGCAAACACAACAAAATGAAAATAGAAATAAAAGAGAATATGAAAAAGTGAAGGTTCACTGTTTTTACTTGTAATTCTAATGTATCTCATGTATAATTACCATTTTAATCTACCTCCTTTCAACTAAAACTGCTTGCTATCAAATATATTTTATCTTTAGCATTCAACATATCAAGATACACACCAGGGCCTTTTAAACATATTTGATGTCGTCTTGAACCTCAAATTCATCCATGCTCCTTTGCTGAAACAGCCACTGACAATTTGCATGACAAATTTTTACAAAGTACAGTGGGGTAAAATATTAAGTTTGATCTTTATTTGTTTTTTGCAACCAAGGGAAAAAATCTGACTTCTTTTTAATTAGAAACCAATCAGGGCTTTTGCGTTCTAATTTAATAAAAAAATTAGCCCAAACGATCCATAGCAGTCCTAAAAATTTTAATCAATTTCTATTGTCACTTTATGAGACTTAATATTTTAGTGGGATTATGATAATTAAAACTGATTCTGATTTATGAGGATGTCTTAAAATTATTTCAGTTCTCTGAAGATTTGGGTAAGACCCTAAATTGACAAGTGTTTTCCTTTTCCTTTAAATAACAGAATGGGAGGAATATGAAACCTATGGAAAACAACAACAACAGAACAAACCAACAACAAAACCCCAACACTCAGTGTCCAAATATTTATAGGTAATATTGAGGGTAAAGCATTCTATTCACAAAGGCTATATTTCCACAGTATTTAATTTGTTTGGTGAGAACCGGGGCTTCAGTAGGCTCTATTAATGTTTAAGTAGCATATGATACATATTAGTGTATCTATACCTGTGAGACATTTTTCCCTTATAAACCCGCTTCTGAAGTTTTTAAATCTTAAAGAATAGCATATACTATTGTACCTGAGAAAGCGTTAAACTAGTAGTTTATTTGGAATTCATATGCATTAACTAGGCATTAAGAGCTTCATTTTGCAAACAGACTATTTATAAAAATATCAAAATCATTCTATCCACTTACAGAACAACACACACAAAAAAAGCAGAGCCCTGGCAAGTTCCAAACAATTTTCAACAGTATATATATTCCTCTGAAGGTTTCTTACGTTCTCAAAACAAGAAATTCTGTTGAAATACTGTATCCTTAATAGTTAAAGATATGGTTAAGAGAGCCGAATCTTTATCCATATTCAAAGCTCAGCCATGAAATTGTGTTACTTCCTTCTCTTTGAAATCAATTTACGACAAAAATACTCAAGCTGCACACTCGGTTTCTATCCTAAGCTGGAGAAAACCCCCCAAAGAATAAGCCTGTACTACTGGGGAGACTTTTTATCTAAGCGTTTTATTTTAATTTAGAAGGAAAAACAAAAGTTTGCCGTTCCCGGGGTCTTTCTGGCTTCACAACGCGGGGTTAAAAACAGCTTTTCTCTTTCATCTGTGGTCCAAACAGCAAGAAACTCTCCCGAATGAAAGTCCACTGTCTTCCCTACACTCTCCGAAGAAACCGGGGTGATTTTGTAGCACTCGTTTTACAAAAAATATGAATTTATAACTCCGAAGAAACACAGACTCGGAGGAGGAAAAGCTCTTCCTGGCTAACAGTTAGGCGGGCTCTGCAAAGCACCAATCACAGATCACCGCTTCGCTATAAATTCAGGCATCGGGGTTACTGTAGCCCAATTACTTTCTTTTGATTAGGAAGAAGTCTCTGCAGCGATGTCGGAGACCGCTCCCGCCGCCGCTCCCGCTGTCGCGGCCCCCGCCGCCAAGGCCGCCGCCAAGAAGCCGAAAAAGGCAGCGGCCGGCTCCAAAGCCCGCAAGCCCGCGGGGCCCAGCGTCACCGAGCTCATCACCAAGGCCGTGTCCGCCTCCAAGGAGCGCAAGGGGCTCTCCCTCGCCGCGCTCAAGAAGGCGCTGGCTGCCGGCGGCTACGATGTGGAGAAGAACAACAGCCGCATCAAGCTGGGGCTCAAGAGCCTCGTCAGCAAAGGCACCCTGGTGCAGACCAAGGGCACCGGCGCCTCCGGCTCCTTTCGCCTCAGCAAGAAGCCTGGAGAAGTGAAGGAAAAAGCTCCCAAGAAGAAAACAGCCGCAGCCAAGCCCAAGAAGCCGGCGGCTAAGAAGCCCGCCAGCGCCGCCAAGAAGCCCAAGAAGGCGGCGGCGGTGAAGAAGAGCCCCAAGAAAGCCAAGAAGCCGGCGGCCAGCGCGACCAAGAAAGCAGCCAAGAGCCCCAAAAAGGCGACAAAGGCTGCCAAGCCCAAAAAAGCGGCGGCAGCAGCGAAAAGCCCTGCCAAGGCAAAAGCGGTGAAGCCAAAGGCAGCAAAGCCGAAGGCGGCCAAGCCGAAAACAGCCAAGGCAAAGAAGGCAGCACCCAAGAAATGAAGTGTTGAAGTGGAAATACTTAAACCCAACGGCTCTTTTAAGAGCCACCTACTATTGTCCCCAAAAGGGCTGATACACTCCGTCACTGAGCTCCGTGCCTGCAGCAGAGCTGTCCACACGCCACTATCCGTGTGGGACATTTGTCTGGGGAGTGGATGGGACGCTAAACTTCCGGCCGTGGTTACGCTAAGACTTGGAAAAATAAAGTCTACATTCCCTGCGAAAACGCTTTCTGAAGGCTGCCTTTTTTTTTTTTTTTTTTTTTTTTTAGCACCGCAATTGGGTGTATGTGTTAAAGGGACTGCTTAAAGGCGGGTACCTTTCTGGGGCGTGGAGGTTTCTTTCATTGCTCTTATCAGCGCGATTTCTAATAGCATGGATGCGACTGCCACACCCCTTAGTGACTGTAGCAGAGAACTGTCAGCACGACTCCTCCGCTTTCTTGGTAATGACCTTTCCGCTCGTCAGCGCTGCCGTAGGGCAGGTCCTGATTTCTGCGTGACTTGACCGACCTGCTTTTTCGAGAAGGAGATCGCCGGGGAGGGAGAGGGGGGAGGCACCAGCGTTCCTGTTCCGCACCCTGCCGAGCTCGGGGCGGCGCAGCCGAAGCGACGAGAGCTCGGCCGGGCAGCTGTCCCGGAGCGCGGGGGGGGCTCAGCCCCGGGGCAGCGCAGGGGCGGAGCGGGCGCGGAGCTCCCCCAGCTCGGGGGCTCGGGGAGCGCAGCCCTGGGGCCGCCTGTGATTGGCTGATGGGAGAAGCCGCAGCCGCTCATTGGGCGATTAGGAAATTTGGAAAAGCCCGCGCTACAAGGGGGGGAAAGGGAGGGGAAGGAAGGGAGGGGCGCGCACGGAACTCCCCCCGCGCTGGCTCCGCGCCTGCCGGTGCTTCCGGGCCCCCTCGCTCCGGGACAGCTCGTCCTCCCATAGCGTCTACCCCCTGTCAGTTGTTCTCGCTTATCACAGGCTTTTTGTCCTTGCCTTATGATCCTGTCTTCTCATACAGAAGGGCAAATGTTTAAGCTCATACTATTCCAGGACATAAATGTAAAAAGTGATCAGTGTCGATTATTTTCCTCTTTTTTATTTTCATTTTATTTAGCTGTATGATTGGAAGCTATGAAAAATATTTAATTTTGATGGAACATGAAGTATAATGTACGGTCACATCTTTGTTGTAGAAAGAGCTTAATGTGTTATTGGGGAAAAAAAATTGAAGGTTTTTTATTAATTAAAACAATGTAATTAAAGTTGTTACTCAAGGTTTTCAGAAATTGATTAATTATCACTGCAAGCTACAATGACTGTTTAAACATTTGTTTTATAATTGTCTAACGTTCCTTAATAAAATTTTCGTATTGAAGACTGAAGCACTACAGTGTAAAGCCCTTTTAGAGAGTATGTGGGTGGCTCTTAAAAGAGCCTTTGGGTTGAAAGTGACGGTCCGAGACGCCCTACTTGGAGCTGGTGTACTTGGTGACAGCCTTGGTGCCCTCGGAGACGGCGTGCTTGGCCAGCTCGCCAGGCAGCAGCAGCCGCACGGCCGTCTGGATCTCCCGCGACGTGATGGTGGAGCGCTTGTTGTAGTGCGCCAGGCGCGAGGCCTCGCCGGCGATGCGCTCGAAGATGTCGTTGACGAAGGAGTTCATGATGCCCATGGCCTTGGAGGAGATGCCCGTGTCGGGGTGCACCTGCTTCAGCACCTTGTACACGTAGATGGAGTAGCTCTCCTTGCGGCTCTTCTTGCGCTTCTTGTCGCCCTTCTTCTGCGTCTTGGTCACCGCCTTCTTGGAGCCCTTCTTGGGCGCGGGCGCGGACTTGGCCGGCTCGGGCATTTTGACAGCGCTTTTTCTCTCTCTGAGAAAACTCAGCACCAAAATGGCCGCAGCCCGCGCTATTTATAGGGCGGTTATGCAAATTTAGGCGCTCCAACCGTGCAATGCGATTGGACCTTACCGCAAGGGGCGCGATTTTGTCTCCGATTGGTCAACATACGATCCGCATTTTCATTGGTTCCTTCAGCAGCGGCCAGTTCCAACCAATCACCAGCGGCCAATCCCGCCCAGGGAAGGGATAAAAAGGGGAAGCTCCTTTGCGTCAGTAGAATAGTGTCGGTTTAGCTGTGGGAGGTGAGATCGAGCTGTGTGACAGGCGCTTAAGTCATGTCCGGCCGGGGGAAGCAGGGAGGCAAGGTTCGAGCCAAGGCCAAGTCGCGCTCGTCACGGGCCGGGCTGCAGTTCCCCGTCGGTCGTGTCCACCGGTTGCTCCGGAAAGGTAACTACGCGGAGCGGGTGGGGGCTGGAGCTCCTGTATATATGGCGGCCGTGCTGGAGTACCTGACGGCCGAGATCCTGGAGCTGGCGGGCAACGCGGCCCGCGACAACAAGAAGACGCGCATCATCCCCCGCCACCTGCAGCTCGCCATCCGCAACGACGAGGAGCTCAACAAGCTGCTGGGCAAGGTGACGATCGCGCAGGGCGGCGTGCTGCCCAACATCCAGGCCGTGCTGCTGCCCAAGAAGACTGAGAGCCATAAAGCTAAAAGTAAATAAGTTCGACGAGCAGAGCTACTCAGACTTAGCACGAGATTTTAAACCAAAGGCTCTTTTCAGAGCCACCCACAGAGTCAGAAAAGAGTTGTGTTGCTTTCTTTACAAAGGTGCTCTCGTGCTATCTAAACTTTTCTACAGAAGAGGAGTCATACATTTGCTTTCTAATTCTCCGTTTTTTGTTGAAAATACTATCAGTTTGAAATTATTTGGGTTTTTTTTTTCCTTGTAACAGTAAAGCACTTATATCTTAATGTTAGTTTTGCTCAACTTTCATGATTTCATAGGCTACTTAGGTTGTAAAAGTATGGGAGGGTGGCTAAAAGAATAGGGAGGGTGTGGAAAAAGCTATGCAGCATGACAATAGATTGGAGACCATCCCAAACTCATATAACTAATAATGAAATTATTTCTTCATTTCCTTCGTAGGACTCTGTTCTTCAAAAGATGTAAAGCTTCCTTATGATTTAATTTTATTTAGAAATAACATGAGGAATGCCTTAGGGAAAATGTCTCTTTTTGATCTAGATCTTTTAACTACTCAGACCTTCACTGTAAAGCAATAGTGTAACACCTTTCCACTCTTTCTACCCTTAAAATTCCCTCACTGTGCATTGCTATTCCTCTTGTTACATCAGTTTGCAGTGGGCAATATTGCTTAAATTTTCTATATTGCTGGCACAAGTATCATCCAAAAGCACCACCTTTAATCTCTTTATATTCACTGTCATAAATTATGAGAAAGACTGTCTATCTGCTTCCTCTTGTTAGGATATTCCCAGAAGCTGCATCTGATGATCTGTAATACACTATTAAGGTCATAGGTCCCATCTGTGCAGCACCCCTGCTCTCCATCCCCTGGGGAGGAGGAATGCTCTGGGCTTGGAGGAGGGCAACACTCCCACTCTTCCTCTCGTTGCTACTCCCAAGATGTGGCAGAGAGGCTTTTTTGACAGGATTGTGCCATGGCTAAAGTGAGACAACCAGAGATAATTTGTGGAGAAAAAGAGAGCTGCTGGAGAACCAGCCTTATCTGATATAGTGATGGTATCTGTGCCTAAGGGTCTTGTTTGTAAGTGTACACATTTAGGGTTGCGATGTTTTCATTATGTTGTTTTATTGGTCCTCATCTGCTGCACCTACATATGTCCTGGCCCTTACACTTCTCTTCTTGAATAACTGCAGTGGTTATCAAAACTACTTTAACATGCACGAATCTTCTATCTTTAGTTTCCAGAACAGATTCCAAATTTATGTGTGTCAGAAGATTACAATCATAGAATGGTTTGGGTGGGAAGGGACCACTACAGATTATTTAATCCAACATCCCTGCTCTGGATAGGACATCTTCCACTAGCCCAGGTTGCTCAAAGTCCCATTCAGCCTGACTTTGAACATCCTCTAGGAATGGGGCATCCCACATTTTCTCTGGACAACCTGGTCCGCTGTCCCACAACCCTCGATGAAAAACAAATCCTTACTTATGTCCAATCTAAATGTACGCTCTTAGTTTAAAGCCATTATCCTTTCTCCTGTCCCTAGAGGCCTGAAAAAAAGTCTCTGTCTTTCTGTATTGAAAGGCAGTCCCAAGGTCTCCCCAGAACCTGTTCTTCCCCCAGCTGAATAAGCCTAACTCTCTCAGCCTTTCTTCACCAGAAAAGTATTCCAGCCCTCTGCTTGTTTTTGTGACCCTTCTGTGGACCTGCTCTGATAGATTCATGTCTTGCTTGTACCAGAAGACCCCAGAGCTGGATGCAGAACTCCAGATGGAATCTCATGAGAGCAGAGTAGAAGGGGAGAATCACTTCCCTCGACCTGCTGGCCACGCTGCTTTTGATATAGCCCAGGTTATGATTGGCTTTCTGGACCACAAGCATGCACCTCTAAATCAAAGAACTGGAATTCCAGAGAAAGGCCATGGTGTGGGGGTATCTGTATCCAGGAGCTAGATTTCTCTGCAAACAAACTCCTCTATGTGAAAATCAGAGTTGGTGTCACAGGGGAGGGCCCTGTCCTCTGAGTGTGGATCTAAATCCAGCACATCTCTTCAAATTCTTTATGTCATCTGACCAGAAATTCATTATGTGCTTCAGAATTTCATTCCAAACACCTCTTAATTCACTCACTAGTCTGATCACCCCAGTAACTGTAGTTTCATCCTCTGTGATACTTAGATTCACTCCTTAGCACTCCCTAGTTCTGTTCTTAAGCACCAGTGGTTTCACCAGTTGTGAACCCCGTGCTGCCAGCACACTGCTGAGGCCTCAGAGTAAAAGTCCTGTAAATCAGATGGATTACAAACATGAAAGAGTGCTGGAAAATCTACTGGTATTAAAGACTCACAGCTTTCAAGCAAATTGCACTGGATGAAGGAATGCAGCGAAGAAAGTTTAAATAAATGAGTTTCATTCTCATATAAAACGAACAGTAGGAAAGAGGAAATCCATATGATATGGTGGCTTAGCTGTGTCACTGGATTCCAATGCACCTCCACCTTCTAAAGAACTTGTGATGAAAGAAAAAAACCTTCCAACCAAGCTCCCTCAAATGTTATAGATCACAGTCATGCTTAGGGATAACTCAGTAATATCAGTCTTTATATCAAAAGACTGAGAATTGCATAGTTAAAAATATGAAGGGCTTTTTCTGCTCTTTTTCATCTATATTTCTTATAATGTTAGGAATAATGTACTCTATTGAAAAGATCTTGCATTACTTTAGTTTGCATATTGTAATTATTATGACACTTGTAACAGATACAGATAGGGATATATTCTCTCAAGAAAATTAAGAGCAGCTTTGCAGTTGGTTATAACACACTGATGCAATGGTAAGTCATGGTAAGATGTTGCTTTATTGCAATGAACAAATGCAATTTCCTCATTGCAGTTTAATGAGGAACTAGGGCAACTGTCCTAATTAATGCACACCTGAAAAGCTACAGATTTTTATTTTATTTCTTTAATGGAGCTGAGTTTTGCAAAGGTTTCTGTTCTCATTTAACCCCAATGCTGTTTGTCCAAACTGATGAGGAAAATGTAGTACTATGATCTGAGGATTGGATCCTAAACTTCGATCCAAATAAAAATTATTTTCTCCAATCAACAGTAGTAGCAACTTCATTAGGGATTATATTCAGCAGGAAAAGTTTCTTTCCTCTTTAGTTAGTTTTGCCTAAGGAAATCCTCTGATCCATGAGAGAACTGACTAATGTCACTAAGAGAAACACCTGGGAAACATCCGTGTGCACTTGTACCAACCTACAGACAAGGCAGCCTTCTAGAAAGCGTGACATAAAATTACATCTAATGTGCTCCAGATACTGAGGAAAGGGGGTTGCAACTATTTTAATTACTGTAAGCTACTAGTCTCAGCCTCTTCATCACCCATTTCTGCCAGAAATGGAAGAAGATTTTCCTAGTCTTTCAGTTGTTATAATGCTAGAAGGAAAAGTTATACTATGATCCTCACTCTGCATTTAGAAAGACTTACAAAGAAATTATTATTTCACATACTGAAAGATTTTGTGTAATTCCTTTAAGCTTTCTTTAACATTCAGAACGTTGTTCATAACTGCCTCAGGAAACAGAGCTAGACACAGATCTTCAGGTATAAAGAACAAAGCAGACTTTGTGGAGCCAAATGGTAAGGTTAGGCACCAGCCTGGCAAGTCCACCAGTGAGAAATCTTCCATTTAGTGTTTATTCATTCTGTTCAGTTAAAAAGCAAACATAATCTAAATTAAAGCTATGTTTGCTGCTCCTATTGTATATATGAGTGGTAATTCTTTAAATTGTTTAAAATAACAATTTGAATGGAGAAGGAATTCACAGGGATGATTATAATCATAACAAGATTTGTACATTTTGACACCTGTAACCAAATGCTCAACTATCTCAATCTCATTTCTCCTTGAATTTAGGGAACACTTTCTGCCAAGAAATATTCTGGAAACGTTGCCAAGGTTCTGTAAATTATACTCCTGAATAACTTTAAATAAACAACTGCACAAATTTCTAAGGATATAAAAAAATTTAAACAGTAGACAAGTTTGAAGGGTGCAAAATACTAATAACATAAAAATTGGCAAGCACCATAGCCGTATTACTTCTATTCTGAGTATAAGTAATATTTACAATCTTAACAGATTTAATTTAGAAATGCAGTCCTATAACTCAGTCAGTATTTATTCATTCACTTCATAAATACAGTCCAACATACTGTAAGCAGCATGTAGAGATGTTTGTTCACAACAGTGTGAAACAAACTGCAAAATTTCTTCGTTTGAACAAAAAAATCTTTCGTTAGTGTTCATTTTTCAAATGTCATACAGATATCTGCTAGTGATAATCGTAATGTTTTCTCTCGCTTTTTGGATCCCGATGTATGCCAGCGAACACTTCTTTCAGAGCCTGGCAACTGCCGGGAGCGAGCCCAGCGCCCCGCGGCCAGCGCTGTCCCCGAAACCGTACTGCGGGGCTGGGGAGGGCTGAAAGAATGGGCGGACGATCCCTTCCGCAACCCCAAACAGCCCCTCCATGTTGCCTTCAAGGAGTTTCAGACCTAAATGTTCCCCACCGAAATCCCTCACTGATGATTTTCCCTGCCGTTTAGGACCTCGCTCCCTGCTTCCTTTCGCACAGACCTGCAGGTCGCTCTGTGCAGATATAAAAGCGCGAAACGCTCGGTGCCCAGCCCCCCAGAACGCACGGAGGAGAGGACAGCTGTGGGAGTGTCCGGGTAGACAAAGAAAACGCGAAACGGCCATGGCCGAAGAAAACAAAGGGAGTGCTGCCCGGGAAAGGCGCCTCCGCCAGCTACGCGCGAGTGGAGGCGGAGAGCAGCGGCGGGGCTGGAGCGCCGAGTGCGGTCCCGCATTGGTCGGATTTTGCCGCAGACCCGCGGGGAGGGACGGGGAAGGGAGCGCCACCGCCCCTGCTCCGAGTACCGGCGGAGAGGCAGCGCTGCCGCGGAACTGTCCCCCGCGCAGGGGACACGGCCGGGACGGCACAGGAATGCAGCAAAGGGACGCGCGGGCTGACAGCGGGCAGGGTCAGCGCAGCGCGACCCCGCTGCGGGAAGGGCGGTGCGGGACCCGGCCCCGCCCGGGAGAGGCGGAACCGCCGCGCGCGGCTGCGAGCCAGAGCCGGGAAAGAGCCTCGGCCACCGAACGGCGGGAAGCGCGGGCGGGGGGCGGGGACTGAGAGTGAGACCCCGCCTCAGATAGCAGTCCTCAACCAGGTCGGACCGACAGCAATATACAGGCGCTGGGGCGCCGTTTCTCGTTACAACCTTTGCGGTTCAGCGGGGAACAGCATGTCTGGCAGAGGCAAGGGCGGGAAGGGGCTCGGCAAGGGCGGCGCCAAGCGCCACCGCAAGGTGCTGCGCGACAACATCCAGGGCATCACCAAGCCGGCCATCCGCCGCCTGGCTCGGCGCGGCGGCGTCAAGCGCATCTCGGGGCTCATCTACGAGGAGACGCGCGGCGTGCTGAAGGTCTTCCTGGAGAACGTCATCCGCGACGCCGTCACCTACACCGAGCACGCCAAGAGGAAGACGGTGACGGCCATGGACGTGGTCTACGCCCTCAAGCGCCAGGGACGCACCCTCTACGGCTTCGGCGGCTAAACTCGATTCCTGGCCTAGTTTACGCTTTTAGAACACAAAGGCTCTTTTCAGAGCCACCCACAAGTTTCAGGAAAAAGAGCTTTAAATCGTTGCGTGTGTACGTACTTGTTGTACTTGCGGTTAAATTTGTAGGCGGAGATAAGGGAAGGGACTTCGCTTTTCTTGACCGGGGGCTCCCTGGGCTCAAGAAAAAGCAGCTATGGCAGTTACATCCTGTATACCCGCACTTTGCTTCCCTCACTCTCCTCCGCACACAGAACACAGGTCCTCTTTGGAAAAGGGCGATGGAAAGTACAGACAAAGGTGAGGAAAAGCGGGACGTCGGGAGCAAGCGCTGGTTTGCATCAGCCGCTCTCCCGGCACCACCGTTGTAGTCTGGGGTGGGAAGGAAGCTCGTGAAATGGCGGCGCTCTCCGAGTCTCTGCCAGTCGGGGGGCGGGACAGAGCGGGAAGGCGGGGGGAGAAAGAAAAGCTAAGAACACCCGATAGCGTCCTGGGGACTGCGGCGCAAAGAGGCTGCGAGCCCTGTGCTGAACAGCCTTCCCGTACTCCCCCCCCTCCTCCTTGTAAGGATGCCTTTTCTGCTCCAGGCACCGCTCTCGGCTGCACACATCACCCCAACCCCTCTCCCCTCCTCCCGCGCCGGCGGCTTGAAGCCTGTACCTCAGAACCACTGACACACAGCGGGCGGCAGGGGAGGGCGGGACTGGGCGCTACCGGAGGACCACACACCTCCCCACCCCCCCGTTAGCCCAGAACCGGCACGTACAACCGCTTGGTACAGGCTGCCCGTGCCTGCTCCATAAGAGACACAGCCCTCTCCAGTGCTCATGTGGTGGCTCTTAAAAGAGCCTTTCGGTCTGGTAGTGGTGGGAGGGTAAAGACTCAGGCGCGCTCTCCGCGGATGCGGCGGGCGAGCTGGATGTCCTTGGGCATGATGGTGACGCGCTTGGCGTGGATGGCGCACAGGTTGGTGTCCTCGAAGAGCCCCACCAGGTAAGCCTCGCTGGCCTCCTGCAGCGCCTGGTGCGCGAGATCGCGCAGGACTTCAAGACCGACCTGCGCTTCCAGAGCTCGGCCGTCATGGCGCTGGAAGGGCAGCTTGCGGATCAGCAGCTCCGTCGACTTCTGGTAGCGCCGGATCTCGCGCAGCGCCACCGTGCCGGGCCGGTAGCGGTGCGGCTTCTTGACGCCGCCCGTGGCCGGCGCGCTCTTGCGGGCCGCCTTGGTGGCCAGCTGCTTGCGGGGCGCCTTCCCGCCCGTCGACTTACGCGCCGTCTGCTTCGTGCGCGCCATAACAACAGAGCTCCTGCCCGGAGCGCACCAAACGACGAAAAACCGAGCACTGGTAGATGGAATCGGTACCAGGTCGCTTTTATATCCAAGCCCTGTCCGTTGATTGGCTGATGGGAACGGCCGAGCTCATTGGACCAATTTGAAAACCCCGCGTTACGCCGCTCTTGGCTGCTGCATACTTAACTCACCACAGGCTCCTTTGGTCCTTCTTTTCTTCGGAGGCCACATTTCTGATCTTTAAAACTTGGCTTAAATAACTGTGCCTTTCATCGAGGTAATTCTTCTCATGCAATTCCCAAGAGGGAATTATCTGATTTTTGGGGGAGGTGGGTATTCACTGAGATTTTCGTGTCTATAAAGAAGGTCGCTTATATTTTGCCGTTCTATATTTTTTATGGAAATATTTCCAGAGGAAGCAAGTGTTTTTTGTGCAATCCAAAATAAACTCCCCTACGACTTCTGTTTTTTGTTCTTTTCTTTTAGCAGTTAAGGTAATACAAGTAATTACATTGTTTACTTAAGAGACAGCCGGCAAGTGCTATTCAGATTCTGAAACAACTTGGGAGGTAAAAAAGCATTAGGGGAAAACACAATACAAATTAAACATTAAAAGATGATTGGGTTTCTTTTTAGAAAAGAAAAACGATTAAGTCCCTGTGCACAGGGTTAGGGTTCGGGACGCCTCCAGCTACCGCTGTTACCCAATTGTATTCTCCTCTGCTTTGACCAATCACAGGCGGGAAGGCGGGACCGCCACGCAATATAAGGGGGTTCGCAGTGGTCGTGGTAACCGCCAGAGGGGAAGGAACAGTGAACTAGAATGGCGCGCACGAAGCAGACGGCGCGTAAGTCGACGGGCGGGAAGGCGCCCCGCAAGCAGCTGGCCACCAAGGCGGCCCGCAAGAGCGCGCCGGCCACGGGCGGCGTCAAGAAGCCGCACCGCTACCGGCCCGGCACGGTGGCGCTGCGCGAGATCCGGCGCTACCAGAAGTCGACGGAGCTGCTGATCCGCAAGCTGCCCTTCCAGCGCCATGACGGCCGAGCTCTGGAAGCGCAGGTCGGTCTTGAAGTCCTGCGCGATCTCGCGCACCAGGCGCTGCAGGAGGCCAGCGAGGCTTACCTGGTGGGGCTCTTCGAGGACACCAACCTGTGCGCCATCCACGCCAAGCGCGTCACCATCATGCCCAAGGACATCCAGCTCGCCCGCCGCATCCGCGGAGAGCGCGCCTGAGTCTTTACCCTCCCACCACTACCAGACCGAAAGGCTCTTTTAAGAGCCACCACATGAGCACTGGAGAGGGCTGTGTCTCTTATGGAGCAGGCACGGGCAGCCTGTACCAAGCGGTTGTACGTGCAGGTTCTGGGCTAACGGGGGTGGTGGGGAGGTGTGTGGTCCTCCGGTAGCGCCCAGTCCCGCCCTCCCCTGCCGCCCGCTGTGTGTCAGTGGTTCTGAGGTACAGGCTTCAAGCCGCCGGCGCGGGAGGAGGGGAGAGGGGTTGGGGTGATGTGTGCAGCCGAGAGCGGTGCCTGGAGCAGAAAAGGCATCCTTACAAGGAGGAGGGGGGGGAGTACGGGAAGGCTGTTCAGCACAGGGCTCGCAGCCTCTTTGCGCCGCAGTCCCCAGGACGCTATCGGGTGTTCTTAGCTTTTCTTTCTCCCCCCGCCTTCCCGCTCTGTCCCGCCCCCCGACTGGCAGAGACTCGGAGAGCGCCGCCATTTCACGAGCTTCCTTCCCACCCCAGACTACAACGGTGGTGCCGGGAGAGCGGCTGATGCAAACCAGCGCTTGCTCCCGACGTCCCGCTTTTCCTCACCTTTGTCTGTACTTTCCATCGCCCTTTTCCAAAGAGGACCTGTGTTCTGTGTGCGGAGGAGAGTGAGGGAAGCAAAGTGCGGGTATACAGGATGTAACTGCCATAGCTGCTTTTTCTTGAGCCCAGGGAGCCCCCGGTCAAGAAAAGCGAAGTCCCTTCCCTTATCTCCGCCTACAAATTTAACCGCAAGTACAACAAGTACGTACACACGCAACGATTTAAAGCTCTTTTTCCTGAAACTTGTGGGTGGCTCTGAAAAGAGCCTTTGTGTTCTAAAAGCGTAAGCTAGGCCAGGAATCGAGTTTAGCCGCCGAAGCCGTAGAGGGTGCGTCCCTGGCGCTTGAGGGCGTAGACCACGTCCATGGCCGTCACCGTCTTCCTCTTGGCGTGCTCGGTGTAGGTGACGGCGTCGCGGATGACGTTCTCCAGGAAGACCTTCAGCACGCCGCGCGTCTCCTCGTAGATGAGCCCCGAGATGCGCTTGACGCCGCCGCGCCGAGCCAGGCGGCGGATGGCCGGCTTGGTGATGCCCTGGATGTTGTCGCGCAGCACCTTGCGGTGGCGCTTGGCGCCGCCCTTGCCGAGCCCCTTCCCGCCCTTGCCTCTGCCAGACATGCTGTCCCCGCTCAACCACAAAGGTTGTAATGGGAAACGGCGCCCCAGCGCCTGTATATTGCTGTCGGTCCGACCTGGTTGAGGACTGCGGCGGGGCAGGGCCGGGGCGGGACGTTCGCGCCATCGCTCCCATAGGGGGCAGAGGGGCCCTTCCCGCAGCAGGGTCGGCCCCGCCCCCGGGGGCCCAACCCGCCCCTGCCGCGTTCCCGCCGCGCTCCGCCGGCGCTGGGCCCCAACAAAGGGCCCCGCCGGGCAGCCGAGAGGGGCCGGCGCGGTGGGTCCGGTACCACAGGAAATCCACCCTTTTCTACCGTGAGCTCAGAAAAGGTAGTAAGGTGCTTTTTTTTTTTTTTTTTTCTCCCCGTGAAGGCGACACGTCCACTTCTTTTTGCAGGAAGGAAAGTCTTGTGCGTGCACTGTGTCTCCGACTTAAGGATAACAAGGCGTTGTTTTGTCTGTGAGAGTCAGGTCTCATGAAGGAGTTAATTTGTCTTTACTGATGGACCGATGAAAAACTACATATCTCCATGTGTTTTTAAAGATGCGGCATGTGTTTGATTATTCTCATGGTCTTACTTTGTTGAAACATAATAAAAAACTTTTGCTGTTTCTTTACATGATACTACTTTTTGAACGATACGTGTTCTGGAGCTGTTGATTTGTGCTGAGGTGCCTATTGGCTCTACGGGTCCGTTCAGGTGCAGTGAGTCCTGAAATCTTCCAAACCTTACATTGCGCACACACAGTTCTACTTTTTCTGTCTGAATTATTATTTAAATTTACCATGAATGTATGTTTGAGGTATTTTTACCTTGTTCTTGAAGGATCATCAAATAAATGCTATTCCATACAGTTGCTACTTTTCATGTCTTTCTTGGCAGGAGTTTTTCCCTGGTAAGTTATACCTGTGTAGAATGTACATTTATTGTGGTTTTTTTTTCGTCAGTGTAGTGGGTTTCTGTGGCTGGGTTTTGGTAGCAGGGGGGGAGCTACAGGGGTGGCTTCTGTTAGAAGCTGCTAGAAGATTTCCCTGTCCCACGGAGCCAATGCCAGCCAGCTCCAGGACAGACTTCCTGCTGCTGGCCAAGGCTGAGCCAATTAGGAGTGATAGTAATGCCTCTGTGATAACATATTTAAGAACAGAAGATCATTGCATGGAAAAAATTTCAGCCAGGGAAGAGCAGAGTGAGAACATGGGAACAACAATGTAGACACCAAGGTCAGTGCAGAAGGAGGGGCAGGAGGTGCTCCAGGCACCGGAGCTGTGGCCCCTGCAGCCCATGGTAAAGACCACGGTGAAGTAGCTGTGCCCCTGCAGCCCATGGAGGAGCCCATGCTGGAGCAGAAGATATCCAAAAGAGGCTGTGACCTTGTGAGAGGCCCAAGATGGAGCAGGGTCCTGCCAGGGACCTGCAGTCCATGGAGAGGGAAGCCCATGCTAGAGCAGGTTTTTCCTGGTTTAGGACTTGTGGGCCCACGTTGGTCCAGCTCATTTGTGAAGGACTGCACCCCATGGAGGAGTGACCCACGGGACAGCAGTTTGGGAAGAACTGCTGCCTGAGGGATGGACTCAATGCTGGAGAGTCCATCAAAGACTGTCTCCTGTGGGAGGGACCCCACAGGAGCAGGGAAGGACTCCTCTCCCTAAGTAGCGGCAGAAACAACAACTGATCGTAACCGCCATTCCTCATCCCCTGCACCACTGGGGTGGAAGAGGGAGAACATGGAAGTAAGGAGGGGTGAAGGGAAGGTGTCTTTAAGACTCTTTTATTTCTCATTCTTTGGCTCTTATCCTGCTAGTGATAAATAAGTACTATCCCCACTTTGAGTCTTGTTTTGCCCATGAAGGTGATCAGTCACTGACCTCGCCCAGCTCCTAACTCATGAATCCTTAGCTGTTCGGGTTTTTTTCTCCTCTGTCCAGTTACAGAGAGAGAGTGACAGAGCGGCTTTAGTGGGTACCTGGCACCCAGTCAAGGTCAACCCACTAAAATTGGTCAGCTATTTCTTATTTTGTTTCATCGTTCCCATCTTTTCCCTGTTTCAAATGGATGCTCAGTACTGTATAATGTTTCTTAAATGTGAAAAGGTTTAGCTTGATAATTTCACATACTTTTCCATTTTAGCCATCACTTTTTTTGTTGTTCTTGTTTGTCATTTTTCATCATTTTTCCTTGAAAGTTCTCTTTCTCAGGAGGTGTGAGAGGAATGGATGTTACAAGGCAGGGACTTTAGGATTTATTTTTCTGTCTTTGTAGGCTTTTTGGTATGTATGTTATTTAATTCAGGTTATGCTTAGCCACCATTTTGATACGTATTTCCATATGTAGATGGCCATCTTTGTAGTGTTTATCTCAATTTATATCTACTAATATCACATTATTTAGTTCTACAGCTATAACAAGGACATGATGCTATTAGGATGGATAAAGCCCCCCCCTCCATTTATCGTAATGTTGTGGTTTAACCCCTGCCAGCAACCAAGCACCATGCAGTCGCTCGCTCACTCCCTCATCAGTGGGATCAGGGAGCCTTGCAAGCTGCCCTGTTCACCTCCCATGCCCACTGCTGATTGACACTTTGCCAGAAAGTTGCAATCTTTTTTACCATTCATTTCTTGATGTTTTTTATTTCCCTATATCTCTTTGTGTGGCAGTTAATATTTTTTTCTATTAAATTTAACCTTTGCTTACTTCTGCATCATATTTTCTTGATCATCTCTATATTAGACTTCTTTAAGTAATCAATTTTTTATCCTTATCCAGGGTCCATTACATTTCAAGAGTGACAATTCAGGGGAAGAACCAAAACAGATATGAATGTAATTTGTTCTTAACCTAAGCAATAATTTAATTTCAAAGAAAAAAACCCCACAGATTATTTAATGAATGAATTTTTATTATGACCGTATTACACAGAATCCTTGTAGATATGACAACGATGTACAGGTACATAGACTAGATTGATGTATTACAGTGTGTTTGTGTTATTTGAGGAAATATTCTATATTTCATGATTGTTCAAGTAATGTTTACCCAAATTTATCTTTTCCACACCAGGCAGTTTAATTTTCTTCGTTCTATTTTAGCATAGTGTGTGTGTCTAGTATCTTTCTAAGCTTTTCACTGGCAGCTTTAGGTACAAAGTAACAGTGTGTGTGCTATTGAAGTATTAGGACATTCCTGAAAAAGAAACAAAATTAAACCTAAAGAAAAAGCAAAAAACCTGTTTACAGGAACTTGAACTTTTCAAGGTTATGGAAAAGAAAGGAGGAGTTCTAAGCAATTCAAATTCACTTAATTCTGGAGTAACACTTCATTTCCCAATATGACATCTTTTATTTTATTGCCAGTCTCATATTTTATGGCCAGGGTTCATCCTTTACTCCTGGTGGTTCATCTGCATGGATTGTTTTGTTACTCAGAAGTAAGAAGTGAGTATATGGACTACAAATCAATAATTTTTTTTTAATTTTTATTTTTACAATGAGCTCTCCCTATTAATCAAAACAGTATGAGAAGAGCAAAATGTTTTCCTGATCAGGCAGCATGAGTTGGAAGAGCCCAGAGCTGTCTCCCATGATGTGGGAAGGCAGTCATGGCACATTTTGAGTGAAGGAACAGACTGAGTGATGGCAGGAATGAGTGAGAGAATGACTCTACTCCTTTGCCCACTCTAGGAATGTCAGGAGATTTTAGCACTCCTATTCCCTTCTGCATCAGCTTTCAGTCTCTCATCCTGACATTCCTTCTAACACTCCCGTCCTTCCCAAAAGACAACCATTCCTTTGAATAGGCTGTTGAAATGGTGCGAGTTTCAAAATTTAAGCCTCTGTGGTATGTTTTTTAAATTAGATAAAAGTATCATGATAGATATATTGAAAATTGGAGATACAGATTTGCTTCACCTCCTAAAGCAAAAGCTTGTAATAAACGTGCTGCTTCATTTAGGTGAGACACTTGTGAGGGAAAGCAATCATCTTTCTTTACATCATCTTCCTAGGGAAATAGAAATGTTCCCAGAGCATTATCACATGAAATGCACAAGTTCAACTAAAAATAGAGATGGATTTTTGCCTAGAGTGACAATCAACATGACTAAATATTGCTAGAATTTGTCTAATTTAATGGAGGAAAACAAATATTTTTGAAAGTTGCATGACAAATCCGTTAATTACAACAAAAGTAAAATCAAGGCTTGGTGCACCCTACTTACAGGGAGACTCCAAGCTGTCAGTCTCTGCACAGGCCACCTTCCAGGATACTGAAGACAGGCCCATCAGTAGGACTGGTTGTTAGACCCACAATATAAAGGAGAATCGCACATTTCACACCCCAATGTGCCCCTAAATTGCTGCCAGACTGAGGCTTGGTCAGCTTAGTCCTAGTTTTCATTCTCATTCACCTGGACTAACCTGATGCACATGGCACCTGGAGTGGCTGCTCCCCATGGATCTGATTGCCTCAGGGCACAGCAGGATTTCTTCTCGGGTGTGTATCTGCTTCCAGGCTCTACTTACAACTGTGTGCTGACGGCCAGAGCTGGTACAGTTACAGTTGCACTTCTCTAGGTGGAAGCCGGAAATCAGCAGGGATCATGGATCATGGTAGCTCCCATCCAGTCACAGTGTGTCCATCTCTGACAGGGCTTCAAAAAACACATCAAAATTATGCATATACTTTTTAACTACTGATGCTTTGAAGTGTTAAGTGTTACCTTTTCATGCATTGATGTGTTTATGCAGAAACCCTCAATAACTCTTGCTGGTTATCCCCAAATTCACAGAAATGGACAAGGGACAATTTGGTCTGAAATAAAACCCAAACCAAAAAAAAAAAACAAAAAACCAAAACAACACCACATAGGAGAAAGAAAGTTAGAAAGGTATTTACAAGGTAATATTTTTTCACCTTTAGAACTTCTGTATGTATAGTAATTACTGATCTTGCTAGTACAATCCAGTGCTGCTGCTATTCTGTATGAACTTCTTGTGGCTACAAGGTCCTTCAGCAGTTAGCAGTCTGCACACACACAAGATTAGCAACTAATTAGAACCTCACCATCCATAAAGACATATGGACTTGGACTTCTGGATCATAATGGATGATGGCAAATCCAACCATCCTTTTGGTGAGGAACAAAAAAAATCTTTATTTTCCTGATATGCAAAAGTGAACTTGCCATGACCTCTACAGCATAAACATCTCAAGCGCTCCATCTTTAGGTGTTTTGGATGTCATTAAATAACAATAAATTTCAGTCTTCTCATTTGTTCACTTTTATTTAACCACAGTTTTCAATTTTACTGCTTGTCCTTCCCCCGTGCCTGATCCTTAACTCAGTCTTCAAAGCTGTCTCACCACAATCTTCTACTTTTACTGCACCCTCCAGTTTGATCCTAATAAAAAATTCTTCCCACATCTGAAAACAACAAATAAATAACTAAAACAAACATGTTCAATGCTCAGAAGTACTTCAGTGAAAATAACTGGAATGTCAAGAATCACCAGAAGAGGAAGGGACAGTAAAACAGGATATTATATCTTAGTACCATTGTAGCATTGTGTGAAATAGTTGCACCCTGAGTAGTGTACACATTTCTGGCCCATAAATAAACAAATAAATGCAAGTGGTAAAGAAATTTCTGAGAAAAGTGATAAAGATGATTTAAGGTCTAAAATGGCTTCTTTACTAAGAATATTAGGACACTTTCAGAACAGAGACCACTACTGGTTGAAAATGTTCTTGGTTATTTTTACTATCTGTAAGGTCAGTGGTTAAATCTATCACATTTAGTGAGGTCTAATCTAATTATAAAATTAATTATAAACCAAAAGGTTACTGAAACCAGAAATGCTAAATTTCATAGGCAGTTTCCATAAGTAAATGGACTCCTTTTCTCTATAGGCATTTTCCAAATCAAAGAAAAAAGATGAAGATGATGCGTGGAAAGACGAGATTGGTGCCATCCCTCTCCTTTATAGAAATTAATTCTAGACTACACAGCTGCTTCCACAAGCAAAGCACTTGCTAATGCCTGTGGTAAATTGTTCATAAACTGGTCCATTTAATTACATGCATGTTCTGAGTATTTATTTTGGGTTTTTTCCATAACATAAAAAAAACAAGCAAAGAAATCTCCCCCATAAAAGCACCAACCCCAAACAAAAAACTGACTCTTCCTCTCCTCCCCCCCTCCAAAAAAACCTAACCCAACCAAATAACAGCAAAACAACTTCCCCTTAAAAAAAAAAAAAAAAAAAATCCTATTCAAGTGCTTAACTATTTTTTTTTCAGGGCTTCCAAATTGCTAGCATCCTGGTTTGGGCTGGTATTTTCATGGTTCTCTTAGAGAATAGTTGGGAAGGCAACAGAGGAATTCCATAACAGGAAAAAGCTGCAACATTTTTAGGAAGAGGATTTGGTTTCTGTTTGAAATTCCTCCCTACACGTGAAGAGCAGCATCATTTGTATGCGGAGTGCAGAGACCTGAAACAATGAAACTCTCAAAGATGTGGTATATAGACATGACATCTGGAGAGGAAAAAAGGTTTGTTTGCATCAGCCTAGTTAGTATGGCAGGGTTGTTTCTGTATCATGCACCCATACATCAAGTTTTCTAGGACAGAAAGGACAAGGGGGGGGAAGGACTTAATGACCATGGGCTCCTTACAGAAGTATTTTATCATATAGGATGATCCATCTCTCAGCTGTGAAGCCTGCAGAATCAAAATAACATTTTCTGTCAGAGCAAGCTGGAACAGCCCAACTGTTCCTTGTTTTGGTTTTGTGGTGGGGTTTTTTGGCTTTTGTTTGTTTGGTTGGGGTTTTTTTCCCCTTAGTCTGGGCAGCAGCCACAGTATAAATAAATGGCAGTCAAAAAATACAAACTAGCAGTTGATAGAAGAAACCAGAAGAATTCAAAACGCAGGCTGGTTTTAACAACAGCCAGAGAGAGGGGCTTATCACCCCATTGTGGTATCATCCAGCAGATTCATCTTCCTTGTCTGCAGATTAACAAAACAAAAATGACTCGGAAAGGGACAGGTAAAGGGGGCAGGAAGCGGTGGCAGAGAGGGTAACCGGAGGGAGATAGAGAGGAAAGGAAGAAGGAGGAGGGGGAAGAGGGAGGTAAGCTGCTTCCCGGGCAGGATTGGTCAGAAATTGCTGCAGCCCAGGCGGGTCGTGACTGGGCTCCCCTCCCCACTTCCCTGCTGGGCACCAGAGCTGAACCGGAATGCCCCGAAGAGATCAGCCCTCCCCTTGATTCAGCTTGCCATGGTAACGATAAGGATCTCAGAAGATGCAAAGACAAAGACACAGGAGGACTTAGCTAGGGTTTACGGCAATCTGTTTTTCTGTTATTATTAGATACAGGCAGAGTATTTATTGTGACCTGCAGAAAAACACAGTTTTCTGCTGCATTTCCATAGCTGCAGTGCAATTGGTTTCTAGACTTCCCAACAAACTTCCTGAGCATCAGGAATACCTCCAAAATAGTGTGAATGGAGACTAGTGGATTTCTTTCGTGTTTACCAAAATCTAAATTGATCCTGCACTATGTATTTGAGAGAAACACACAATAACCTTTTCTTTAAAAAGTTCATTTGGTCTCTAAGCAGGTCTGTTTTCAGTGTTTATAAAAAATAAACTACTCATGGTATTATTCAAACGGTTTCTATAACATTACACCAGATTTGTAGGATATTGCTACTTTATTGTATTTTGGTGTGCTATGTAAGTTTGCAAAAGGTACTAAAGAAACTAAAAATTTGAGTGAAGGAATTTGGGAGTAATTTAATAAAAGACCTATAAAAGTTGAAGCTTTGCATAGAGTATGTGATGTAAATGTTCAAATAAGTTTTACAAGGAGGAGCCTACAGAATCATGGTGATAGCACTGGTACCAAGCAATTAATTCCATTCATGTTTGTTGGCCTATGTAAATACTTTAGCTTGTCTATATTGTTGGTAAATTTGCTAGCCTAAAGCAAATTCTCATGAGAAAAAAAAATAAAATCACAGTTTTCTCTAAGACTTTTACTACCAAAGGAGCTTGAACAATATTTCAATTCTGTCCTCAATCAGGTCACTAGAGAAAAATTAAGCATAGACAGTCTTTTTCAAATACAAACAAACAAACAAAACAAAACCAGCAAAAAACAAACCAAAACAACGTGAATAAGACTTTTTGAAGGAAAAGAATATCTAAGGACTTTTTCTCACACTGTATTGTGACTATGAAAAAGCCTAAAAGTGAACGTTCTTCTATCACTTTACTTTTTTAAAACTTGTTTCTCAGCATACTTGGGAATGTTTCTGCAATTGAGTGTAGTTTATTTTTCTTTTGATTTTAATATTGTCTTGCATATTATGTTTTAGTCCTTTAAAAAATAGAGAGTTGTTTTTTAGTAACTACAGGGTGAATAATATTCATGGGAGCAAGTCATCTGACAGATTGCACTACCTATGCTACAGTTCGTACTTTAAAGCATAAGGATATATTTTGTGTGGACTTAAAATTCAAAAGTAAATTAGTGTCATGTATGTCATTAAACACTTATTTTGTGACCACCAGCATCTGTGATGCACTGTTCTTAAATCTAAAGTCTTTCCCCTTTTTGAGAATTTAGGTTGGCTTAACAGTTGAAATGAAATTTGGTAAGGGAAATTTTGCATCTGCAATGAAATAAAATATTGTGGTTTTCAAGAAAACACAACTCTCATCTGTCACATAAGCAAATAGGCGATATAGTACATTTCACTCTTCTATTTCAATAAATACAACCCTGTTCTTTAACTATGGTATGCAGACAGAACGTGTTCGTTTATAACAAGCGCAGTCATCTGAAGTAGAAGAACAAGTTGCCTTTCTACATTAAATATGAATGACTGGTCAGGAGAAACGGGTATATGCAGTAATCATAGGAAAACATTCCAGGTGTAATTTAGCTGAGGAAAAGGATTTAGTATACAGAAACTTATCAGTTTTCCTCTACTAATAGAAACATACTTAAACCCGTCATGAAAATCCTACTGGTGGGATAGAGAACACTGTTTATAAATTTCTGTATAAGGAAACCGAGCTAGTTATATGCATCATCTCAAGGGGGAAGCATGGCTGGAAAGTTCTGAGAAGGAAATGGTGAACTTCATGAATTACAATACTGAGCTTAACTAGTTTTTAATGAGGAACATAATAGAAAACCAATACAAACACTTTAGACTAGATTCCAATCTGCTCATATCTTATTTGAAAACTGTTAGAATATTTGTGTTTTCAAAAGATTTTTCAAAAATCAGAGGGAAAAAAACAAACAAACAAAACAAAACAAATCCAGCCACCTCTTTTCCAATTTCCAAGAGAAGCAGAACAGATATACTGAAGTGTCTAAGAAGAAAGTATGAGCATTGTTCTTGAAAAGAAATGCTCCCTCCTCACACTGTGTCTTCAAGGGCAAAAATGAAACTCGGGAGGCCTCTGTTTCAGGATTTTCAAATGGTCCAATCAGAACCTTGTACAAATCAATTCCCTGCTTTAGACTCACGTAATCTCTTCCTCCCATATTAAATATACATGAATAGAAGGCTATTTTGCCAAATATACTAAATACAGAAAATTTGAGATTATTAAACAAACAAACAAAAAATCCTTAAGTGTTTTAAACCTAATTCTAGCCTCAGATTTCAGCATAGTTACTAATAAAGTCCTGCAGTTAATGTTGTTTCAAAGTCCAGCTCTGAATAGTAGGTGATTAATACCTAATGCAATTTCTTTCAATAAGACAGAGATGATTAAAAAAAAAAAAAAAAAGTCCTCTATCTATTTCGGGAAATAAAAATAAAAGATAAAATAACAATCAAAAAACCAAACACACGCACACAAAAACAACAACCAATCAAAAAAAAAATCCCAAACCAACCTGAAAATTGTGCAAAAATCTTGTACCATTTGATAGCAGTCCCGCCTTTCTCATCTTGTTTCCAAGCAAGACTTCAGCTGGGCACTCCTACGTTATCTCTCTCTGCTTGAAAAACATTTTCCATTAACACAATGGCACAGTGGCTCATTTCTCTGCCTCCTGAGACAGAACCCTGAAAAAAAACCCCAACCAACCAAACAACAGCAGAAACAAACAACTGCGGAGTTTTCCTTTTTTAGTTCTCAAGGGTGGTTTTAAAGAACAAAGAAAACATCCTCCCCAGCTCTCAGAAAGCCTCATTCTGAGGCTCCCAGCTCCCCGCGTTGCATTCCTGCTTCCCCTTCGGGCAGGTTTTTTCTTCCGGAATAAACATTACTGAATAAAAAGGAAGTAAAAGCCTCTTTTACCTACATCTGCCTAACAAAGGTGAGAAGCGGTGTTTTTTACAGCAGAAGAAAAGACCAAAAAAAAAAAAAGAAATAAAATTAACGTGTTCAGAGAAAAGAGAGGGGACAAGAGCTGTCGCTGTGCCCCAGCAGGGCGGACTCCCCGAGGCACCAATGGCGGACAGGCTCCTCCCTGCAAATACCGATCTCTCGCGTAGTATCTTGATTTACGTGCCCCCAACACCTCGGGATCCTCAAGCCAGATGCGGCGACTTCAGAGCCCGCGACTCCCGAGTCATCAAGGCCGTGTCCCCCTCTTTGGAGCACAAGAGGCTCCCGCAGTCAAGCAGGCCAAGGCAGTCGTAGCAGCCAAGGGCCCCAAAAAGGCAACTAAGGCTACGACATCCAAAAAGGTGGTACCGAGGAGCTCAGCCAAGCTGAAAGTGACAGTACCCAGGAGTCTGTACCGTATAAGTAAAGGAAACTTTTGCAGAAAAACGCCAGGAGCACTTTTGAACACCACCAGGATGAAAGAGAAAGAATTGAAACATCAGTTCAAGTCTAGACCGGTACATGATGACCCCCTTTCCTGTGTATGTGTGAGTTTCCATAGTGCTTCTATATGAACTCACACTCCAGCCTATTTTGCTTTAACTCCATTATGATAGTCACCATCATTATCTATCACTTAAATAGAATACCTGACACTGCCCTTTGGAAACTGTCCTGGACAGCATCCCAGTGAAGTACTTACCATTTTCTTACTATCCCGATAGCCCCAAATTGCAAACAAGAAAAAAAACCAACCTCAGAAGGCAGAAAATTACAGCAACCACTACGCATAAGGCACCCGGACACCTTTCCACCCCAACGCAGGGACAGCAGCGGCTCACTGGCAGAGGAGGGGGCTCAATCCCTCTCTGGTTTGAAAACCGCGCATTCCAGCCGGATTGGCAAGGACGGCCCCCGTCCCCGCCCCATCCTACCACCACCGAGCTTAATGGTGCTTCCCACCCACTGAATCCATGGGGAGGCAAGCAGAGCACACCCTTGCCTAGTTCACATCTCTTAAACCATGCTACGGTGACCGATTTCAATCGCAAGATACCTTTAATTATTTTTTTTTTTTTCCCAAAAAAGGGAAACAGAGGCACATTTACATAAGAACATGGATGTCTTAGAGAAAGAAAAATGCTTGGAACTACATTAATCAGCAAGTTAAAAATACACAGAAAGTTTATACTTCAGAAAGCTTCCTTTGACATTAAAGTTTTTCAGATATGTCAATCAGCATGTATTTGTAGGGTCAAGCGTTCCTGCTCTTTCTAGGAAGATGTGGGTGGCTCTGAAAAGAGCCTTTGGGTTATTTTATCTGGAGAACTTTACTTGGCTTTGGCCTTGTGGCTGTCGGTCTTCTTGGGCAGCAGCACGGCCTGGATGTTGGGCAGCACGCC